TCTCCGCTATTCTAGTATATACTAGGTTCTTAGTGTATTCGGAGTCGATTAGAATACTAATCTCTTAGTCTTCTAATATATCTTCGAGAAATATAGACCTAGCGTTAGACCTTATAACTATATTTAGCTCGAGTCGTTAGTTCTTTCTTTCCTCTTTAGTTCTAACTAATCGTACGCTATCTCCGTTAACTTTCCATCGTTAGCGCCTTCTAGAAGTATATTTCCGGTGGTATAGATATCTTTAATTCTACCACCGTCTTAGTTTTTTTTCTAGTGAAGGTAATTTATTTTTCTATCTTTTAGATCGGATACTTCGTAGTTATAGACTATATATCGTTTTACTAATTCTTTATAGATCTACTATGCTTTTACGATAGTTATATCTAGCTTCTTTAGCTATAGATAGTCGAGGTGCTATATATATAAATAAAGAATTAGTCGTAGAGAATAGACGTAAACTATTCTATAAGAAAATAGTTCTTAAATATTAATATTAGATAAGGTTTCTACGAGTCGAGAAACTCTAACTCCTCGTTCTCGGTAGATTCTTAAGATCGCTTGTACTTCTATCTTTACTTTAGTTAGTATTTAATCTATCGTTAATCGGACTTATATCTCTTCCTCAGATATTTAGATAATCGCTACGATTTCTCTTAGATCGTCTTCTATAAGGGCCCGTAATTAGGTTTCTTCTACTAAGATTATCTCTACTTTCCTCATTAATTTCTAAGTTTATTAGATTCTTACTTTAATTCTTTCTACTACTTCTTAGAGAATTTATTTTAATTCTTCTTATGTAAGAGGTTTTAGTTCTTCCTTATACTAGGTCTTCGATTCTTCACTAAGATCTAGATCGAAGTTATATTACGAATTAATTATATTATATTCCCTTAGTACTTCCGAGTCTACTTTCGATATATAGACGTTTAAGGTGTTCGGGTCGCCTTCTTAGTGAGTATAAATAAAGTTCGAATAACTTCTTTTCTATGGGTATTCATCATTTTAATAGACCCTTATACTAAAGATTATTTCGATTTTAGAAGAGAGGTTCCTTAGTTCGTATATAGTATAGCTATATTCTAGTAGTGTTAAAGTACAGTAGAGATCTAAATATATTCTTCTTATCTAATATTTAGTTCGGATATATATACGCGTAGATATAATCGCTATCAATATCGCTTTCTTACTATTAATACTTTCTTCGACTATTACTATTTCTTCTTCTACTATATTAACTTTAGAGATAATCGTCGCTATTTTCTTAGTTTTAGATTTTTTTTCGGTAGCTATAATCTACTTTTTCTTATCTTTATAGTCTTTCGCGTAATGACCTAGCTTACCGTAACTATAATAAGTCGTTTCTTTTCCTTTTCTAGGATCGGTTTTTCCTTTTTTATTTTCTCTATTATTGTTACGTCTTTTTTATACTTAGTCTAAATTTATAGATTATGGTTCGTAATAAGATTCGCGCCTTTTCTAAGTATTAGCTCGTTAAGTTCTTATCGTATAAGTTTTTTAAGTAATATTAAGACGCTTATACTAATGATATTCTTTAATATCGTTATCTTTCTTAATAGCCGTAGCTATTTATTTCTTTAGTAGTTTCTCCTCTAAATATCGAAGTTCCCACTTAATTTTCGGCTTTAATTCTTCTCGAAAGATAAAGATAATAATGTTATCTTACTAATTAAGCTTCGTATTTAGCGTTCTAAACTTAGTTATATATTCTTAAATAGATTTAGTTTATCGGAGGCTTACTATTTTCTTTTAAGTTTTCTTTTCTTTATCTTTCGCTCCGAATATTAGTTTCACTATTTTCTTAAATTTCGTAAACGTAGCGAAGAGACTAATAGTCTCGTTCTCTCTATTATTCGCTTCGTTCTTAATATAGTTCTTAACGAAGGGTCTAAGCTAAGCCTCGGCGTTATCTTCGAAGTAACTTCCTATGAAGAGTATTTTCTATAAGTTATTTTAGAAGTTAGTGAGGTTCATTAGGATATATAAATTCGTATAGTGAATAAAGAATATAAGTTTAGATTTCACGCCGTTAAAAGACTTAGGTGGGTTGTTAATCTTTCCCTTAGTCACTGGTGCTGGCGCGGCGGTAGTTATTGCCGTCCTTAAGGTGCTCGGTGTTAACCTCGGGGTACTAGTAGTAGTAGATATAGTGTCGTTAAGGGATAGTCGTGCTATACGTCGTACTAGTTCGTCAATGGGCGAGATGAGTCGGTCGGGTCTTCCTTAACTACTTATAGGGGTCGTTCTCTATAATAAGGATAATAGCTAAAGTGTTAAGGTTCCTACCGGGGCCTAACTAGATTAGGGTTCCTAGTAATAATTCTAATAGTATGAACTGGTTAGAAAGAACGTAAGATATAAGAAGTCACTTGTCACTAAGAACTATAAGTCTAATAGTTAACATAAGTTAGCTACGAAGAGAGTGTAAGCTATCTAGGGGTAATGAGGGTGTATATATAATGCTTATACTCTGTGCGCTCTGTGCGCTCTATGCGCTCTGTCCTAACAGGGCCAGCAGAGCCAATAGGGCCAGCAGGGTATATCACGTGACTCAGCCTTACTCTCTTGCGGACCCTTCCATTTAGCCAATGAGTGTAGAGAGCCGCACCCGTGTAGCCCCCGGCCGATCCCTTCCAAGGCTGTGTCTAACACCTCTCTAGGTAGATAGTTATCTTTAAGTTCTTTAATAGTCACTTACCTACCTATAAGGTTTACGATCTATATAAGCCTTACTATCTATACATTAGATAGTTCTCTAAGTCCTTCGAATAAGTAATTTTTATTAAAATTCTAAATTTACTTCTCGGTTAGTAGCGCTCTAACTTCGCTTATTTTAGCGAGTTTAGTCTAACCGCTTATTTTCACTATTCCTCGAGTAAATTCGCGTTCTTCGACTCCTTCTAAGCTTCTTAAGTCCGGAGTTTTTAGAGTTAAACGTATTTCTACGTTCCTAGGAGATACTTCTCTCTTAGTTCTTCTAGATAATCTAAATAGTCGTTAAGTCGTTAATCTTCACTTTATATAATAATAGTAAATATACTTAGTTAGTAATCTAAATAGTATACTTTACGTAGCGATTTTATATATATAGTTAGTTTCTCTAGATTTAGTTAGATAGATAGATAGATAAGTAGATAATTCTTTAGTTCTATTAGTTTAGTAGTAGTTTATTTTAGTCGTTTATCGTAATCTTCTCTCACCGCTCGTAGAGAGACACTCATTCGTAAGTATTCGTCGAAGATCTTATTAGTGGCACCACTAAACTAGGGCGAGGCTACTAACCATGGGCATCAACTCGTACGGCGGTGAGATAGCCTCTTCACAGCACGCACACTCAACCAAAGAAAGTTCTTCCGTTCATAACTTAATTGATTATTCTATGAATGATAATCCCCGAGGACTATATAAGAAGAACCTTAGTCTAGCGTCGACGCCCCAGCCAATCATAAAGCTATCCCCCACTTCAAACTTCTCCCATTACAGTAGTTAATATGAGTTAGCTACGAAGGGAGTGTAAGCTATTTAGGGGTAATGAGAGTATATATATAACGTCTATACTCTGTGCGCCCTACGCGCTCTGTGCGCTCTGTCCCAACAGGGCCAACAGAGCCCGCAGGGCCAGTAGGGCATATCACGTAACTCAGCCTTGTTCTTCTGTGGATCCTTCCAGTTGTTCAATGAGTGTGGTGAGCCGTACCTTCGCAGCTCGTGACCGGTCTCTCCTAAGGCTGTATCTAACAGTATAGTTCTTAGTGACGAGTGACTGTTCATACCTTGCGTGATTCACAACCAGTTCATACTATCAGGATTGTTACTAGGAACCCTAACCTAGTTAGACCCCAGTAGGAACCTTAACAAGTTAATAGTGCTGGCAGTGTGCCATTCTCTATAGTTGACAGAATAATAAGTTATTATGGCTCTTTTTAATGTCGTCTAGCTATTTATAAGTGTTTTATTAGTCCTATCCCTCCGTTTAACGCCGCTAAATAGCTAGGCGTTCGTTATCCTAGCTATCCCCCCCCCCCCCCCCACCCCCTCCGAGTGGTGTTAGTGGTGTTGTTCCGTTAGTGTTAACCAGGAAGGCGTTCTCGATCCCCGGCCTGCTGAATAGGCCTCTGTGCGTTGTTGCACGTGCATGCCAAACCCTGAAGTGCTCTATTACACTATAATAAGAAGATATAGAAGATATAGTGGAGCCGATTATACTTCTTTAGTAGGTTAAGTCGATAAGTATTTACGCTAATTCTTTTAGTAACCTTAAAAGAGCTTAGAAATTAGTTCGTAAGCTTCTTACTTACGCGTAGCGTACGAATATATACTTTATCGTAAGAAGAATCTATAATTTAATTACGAACTTTATAGTCTTTCGTCGTTTATTATAGTTCTTAGTTACTCTATTAGCGTTACGCTTAGCTATCGTGTATATCTCTCTCGTTATACGGAGTGATTTCGCTAAGACTTCAGGCAAAGTTACTGGTGGCTTCGCTGTATTTACACATACCTCAGAGAGTTCGGTGCTTCTGACCTGTGCTAGGTCGACAAGACAAGTGGCGCAGAGCTCTCTGAAGCGATCAATTCCATGCACAAGGGATTTTGAACAGCAGCGTAAGAGCAGGGATTTCCTAGATTCACTGAGGGTTATCTGAAATATAATGCCTTGCTAAGAGGCAGGTTTAGCCGATCGCTGGGGAGCTAGATTTGGCACCCCTGATATAGCTCATCTACTCCCATTTGAGGCGCAGTTGCATCTGGGGTCCTCTTAGATGGGGACGTGGGAATTGACGGCAACGAAAGGCTATGACAACGGACTATCGGTGTGAATGCAGACCTCCCAGGAAAAAGACCCATCTGACGACCTCGCCCGAGATTCAGCGTCACGAAGTAACCCGATACCACTCTCGCAGCTTGCATTGCAGACTTGGTTACTAGACATCTTAGATTGAGGATGGCTCTCCTGCAATACCGGACCGAGTATTCCCCTATCAACCCTGGAATACCAATGGCACCCCTTCACTTGGTCCCACAACGTAAGCAAGCAAATCTTTCAAGTTACCAGGCTGCTGTGCTGAATACGCTTCAGCCATTATCAGCTTCTCCATGGTAATTCGTGCTTGATGGTTAGGTTCACGATTAATTAGGCCACGAAGGAGTTTGCATTCTCCCTCATTCACTTTCACTACCGTCACTAGTAAGGCAAGCACATCAACATTTGCTTCTTCAATGGCCCTGCAAAGAAGCCATAGGTGGCACTTCCGAGAAAGGTGATAGAAGTCTTGCCGAGGAAACCCATATTTAGAGTAGGAGAGAGTCCCTTGGAGCCATTGCCGCATTAACTCTGTATTCTCGAGTATAGGCTCAAACAGTGTCATGGAGGCGTCTCCTCTGCTGAAATTTCGGACTATCGGTAGGTCCAATTGCAGCTGATCAGAGGGATGGAGGAGAGCGAGCGAAGATTGCCGCCAACCTAGCGCTTGGAGAACAGCTCGGGCCTGATATTCAACACCAATATACTCCGCTGTTCGGTTAGAATTGTCGACAATGCGTGAATCAACACCGACCCTCAGGAGTGCTGCAACAGCGGCAGCTTTCTGGTGACAAGCAGCCACGTGTAGTGCTGTCATCCCGTCCTTGTCACGGGCGTTGATATCTCCCCCTTCCTGTAGATATGCTTCCAAGACAGCGAGGAAAGCACCGTGATCTTGATTCTCAGCAGCTTTGTGCAGACAAGTCTGACCAAATGCATCGGAATGAGTGGTAAAGATTTCATGGACCTGGAGAATGCGTTTCATTGTCCGGACATGTGCCCAAGGCGCGGCGAGGTGCGCGACAGTCCGCGAAAACCGGCCAACTGCCGAAGCATCGACCCGGTCGGAGTCAAGCAACACATGCAGGACCGTCACTTGATGGCCCTTCGCGGCCCAATGGATGGCCCCATTGCCATCATGCGTACATGCGTAAGTGTCGCAGATGGGGTTGGCCAAGAACGATTTCACGAGCATAAGCTGTCCGTAAAGCGTTGCCTGCAGGAATGGAGTCATCCCTCTTTGATCCCTAGAATTTGGATCAGCTCCACGTTCCAGCAGTGCTTTCATCATTGACACTAGGTCGTTTGACATCGCAAAGTGCATTGGTGTAAGTCCCTCTTCATCAGGTTCGTTTATCAAGTCCGATTTTGACAGGAGCAACTGCATGACCTCCATGGAATCCTCCGCTGCGGCATAATGTAGAGGTGTTCTGCCAAGAACATCCTTACGATCAACGTCAGCTCCCTTCGAGATCAACGTTTCCATTGCGCCGTTGTGCGAACAAATCGCGGCGATGTGAATAGCAGACCTTCCATGCCGATCCGTGATATTCAAATCAATACCTGGCAGAGCAATCAATTTGCTGAAAACTCGATCCCAGCCAAACTCTATCGAACCCAGAAGAAGGGGCTGTCCGTTGTCGTCTGGTAGATTGAGTTGAGGAGGGATAAATGGGAGATCGCGAATGATCTCGTAGGCAACATTCTCCGAAGTGCGGTGTGCCATCAAAAAGTGGAGTGCATTGCGCCCTTTGCGGTCCAAACAAATCGCGCTGCTACCGCCACCACGTTTTATCAGCATCATTGCCATTGTCTCTCGAAGCCAGTAACATGCAATATGGAGCGGAGACCATCCTCTGTCGTCCTGAACGAAGCAGTCGACATCCGCTCGATCCAAAAGCATACCCAATATGTCACGCCAGTCCATCTCTACCGCGATATGAATCAGACGTCGACCGTTCGCATGCGGCGTGTTGACATCAAATTCAGGTTTGGGGAGTAGTGCGACTGCCCGCGCTGCGCTTTCGGGAGACACTAGAGTGGAGTTGTACACAAGAGGTTCCGACAAATGAAAGGCCCAGAACGATGATGAATAGGCTAAAAAGCCATGCAGTGAGCAATCTGCGGTATATTTTGGGGCATCGAGAAGGCTCCTGGGGGGACAAATATCGACCGGGCCCCATGCAATGGATGCTAAGCAAAGGTATTGCAAGCATGCGCGAAGAATCTTCTCCCCTGCTTCATGAGGGTTGATATGGAAATGGCGAGTGCTCTCATATCTTGGATTGTCCCTGAACGACGCCAGCGAATGGAAAAACTCCCTCACAGAAGTGTGAACCAATTGAACAGTCTGATCAAATTCTGACAGACGCACAAGCGGCCCACAAAGCCGAGATATAGAGTCTTTGAGATTGAAAGGTAACGCAATATCTGCTTCCGACTTCGTACTGTCCTGGATGTTGGTGCATATTTCAAGTTCGTGGATGGTAAGTGGTCTAGCAGCGCAGACAACCCACTCAAGGATCAGAAGAGTCGATTTAGATGCTTTCATACCTGCAAGGATGGCGAGAAGCAGAGGCACCAATCCTCGAGGCATACGGCGAAGCTCCGCGATCTTATCTCGGATGAGACCATTGTTCCATACCTCGTCAGTTTGCTGAAAGCGCTCCCAGGCCAAGCGCGTCCATAAGAACATGCCCTCGGACTTGTGAATCAGCTCACGCTCAATTTCTTGGACGTGACTTGGCTTGAAGTTTTCTTGAGCTCCAAAACGAGAGACCTCAGTTCCGACAAATAGAGCGATGTCCTCTTTCACAAGATGCTGCTCAAAATCCACGGTGCACAGTCCTTTCAACTTTTGATCAAGGCGGGTAGGAGGTCTGCTCGAAAGCACAATCTTGATCACTGGGATTCGGTTTTGGTTTTCGATAGAAAGCTTCATCAAGGCCCTGTGCAGACTATCCAGTTGGGAAAGGAAAGCCGACATCTCGGTTTGTATCATTTCGTCAACACCATCTACGATTATCCAGTAGGACTCACCAAAGCTGTGCTCAGCAAGGAGATGTTCAAACCAGAATAAAACGCCGGCATCGTCTCGAGTTGGGGTATTGTCCAGCTTCTCATGGCGTCCTAACGTGCGCATCATTCGTTGATTTGTTGTTGCAAATTGGTTGATAATTGACCTCAGCACAGCCGTGGTGCGCCTTTTGCGATCATCCTTGCCGTCGCAGAAAAAGTAAGCATGAAAGTGATCTGGGTGGCGACTTCGCATTTCTAGCAGCAGGGACTTCATCGCAACCGATTTTCCACAGCCAACATCGCCACGGAGCCACATGATGCTGCAGCCACGCTTGAAATCTGTAATCCAGGACATATATACGGGATTGTGCCGAAGCCATTGCAATGTGCCTTCTTGTTGGCCAGGCACCAGCTCCAGGTGATCAGAAGGGGCGTCCCCCTCTAATGCAGACAACAAAACTTGAGCTTCGTTAGGAAGATAAGAGGCTGAGAAGTAATGAGTCAGATTAGTCTTTGGTGTTGACCATTACGCATGCTCGGTTCCAATAGCTGCAGAAAGTCCAAAACCTGCCGCAAATCTTCAACCGCTCTGCTGGATATTGGCTGCCTCACCTGGGGGTTGGTCGTTTGCAAGCTTCTGCGCATACCCACCAAGGGCGCGCAGAACCTTCCGATATCCCTCGTCTTCGCGAGATCGGTACCGACACATCTGCATATGGTTGGCATCGATGGTCTCGACAACTTCAGCAGCAGGCTGGCCGAGCTTTGACGAGAAGTCTGCTACCACCTCAACGCTTGTCAGAATCCTAGTTGCGAACGTTGATAACAATACTCACCTTATCAGTGAAACCTTTTGTGCCAGACATGCCTCGGCCTTCCACAAAGGTATGGACCTTGAAGTCCTTGGAATCGAGCATTTTGACGAATTCTTCATGTATGTTGTCCAAAACTTCGCTGTCGACTTTCAGGCTTCTGAGCACCGTTTTATCCACGTCTCGCAACGTCAAGGCCGCAATATTAGACAGAACGACACCCCAGTCACTGATTCCTGCACCACGATGCGGAGTGCCCATAAACACCACATATCGAGTTTGTTGGTGGACTTGCTGATGGTCTTCATTTAGACTCGTCTTAGATCTTCGAAGAGCCTATTCCGGTTTAAACAGATAGCAGGTGTCGATGCGTTATTACTCACGTCTTTCACAATTATCCCTCCTAAGCTGTGAGTGACGAATATGATCGGCTTCTAAGACGTGTCACCAGTGTCAGGGCAGAGTGGCGATGCTTGCCGCAAAAAGACCAACCTCGTTGCGAATCTCCGAGGCGACTTCAACCATCAGATCGTTTCCATACTGCGATATGCTATTTTTGATGGGACCTTGTCCCTCGAAGAAACCACCTATGAGATCTGCATTATAACCATATGTATAGATCTGAGCCATTTTTAGGTCTTCGGCGAGGAGGTCCTGAGGCCAATATATCCTCTTCGTACCAACGGCGCTGGTTTCATCGACATCTGTTGTCTCTTTAGGTTTCGATTTGGCAAAAAGACTGCGGAATCTGTGCCTATTCGAGTCTTGCGGCGACGACGCTGACGCTTGCGGAGGGCCGCGGTCTTCCCAGGTCTCCCGCGGATGGCCTCGAAGGCCGTGGACAAATATGATGCTGGTCAACCACGTTTAGCGTAACGTACCCAAGACGCGGAGCAGCATACTTCACGAGACAGATTTGAGTTCCATTGTCACTTTGTGTTGCTGAAAGCGGGGTTAGTTTGGACAACCCGAGACGCCTGACGTTGGACATGGCAACCAGGTCCTGCTCTGGAAAGATATGCTGGTTGTCTTGTCATAAAGTGCACAAGAATTCAGTGACATCCCCAGTACAAACCTTGTCCCTGAAAGCAAGCTGAGGAGCGGTTGCGACAAATCGCAGCCAGGAGAGCGGAGGGGCACTTTCCTGAGGACTGCGGTGCCCCGCGCTGCAGGCGGGGTCTGTGAGCACCGCACCCGCAGCAGGATCGTACAATCCGGGCGCAACCCCATCAGGCTGTGGGATATACCGGGTACGAGGTATCGAGTGAGGACCGACAGCTGACCTTCGAAACACACTAACGCCAACTGGGAATGCCACGTTGAGCACCTTCATATTAATATTAAGCTTGTCTCGTCCAATGTAGTGCCAAGACTGTGAAACGGCCACATTCTGAGCCTGATCAGCTCGGCGTAGAGGACAACAGTCGTTTGATCATGCTGAGCTGCCGAGTCCCAACATGGTCATCGATCCCCTCACTGCTCTCGGCCTCGCTTCCAATATTATATCCTTCATAGATTTCGGTGTTCAAGCGCTCGCCAAAGGCCGCGAGCTCCATAAGAGCGCCACTGGCCGACTCATCGAACACGACGAATTCCGTAGTGCCATAGGGCGGCTTCAGCAGCTGCGAGAAGGCATCGACATCTCCCTCCAATCGCTGTCCAGCCGAACAGGCTTAACACATGCCGAAGCGGCACTCCAGGAGATCACAGCCGAGTGCCAGAAAATCTCCGAGGAGTTCCAGGACGCCCTGTCCACATTCACAGCTCAACCTGGGCAGAGTCCCTGGAAGAGCTTTAGGCAGGCCTTCGAAGCTTTATGGAAGAAGGATGGCCTTGAGCGCATGCAGCAAAGGTTGAATAACCAAAGTGAACAGCTTGTCTTACACCTCCTTGTTGTCGTGAGGTGAGTGAGGAGGCTCACTGGTCCCGCACGAAGCTGATGTCGATCTTCTCAGCCAGCGGCAGAAAGATAATTCTGACCAGCTTTACGCCAAGACTTCTGATGCCGAAGCTCATATACTCCGAGCAATCGAAGCTTCACGTCGGGATCTGAAGGCTGATCTGGACGAGCTGGTCAAACTGAATCGGGACCGACGAGGCAGGGACCAAGACTTGAAGTTCGCGCGCGGCATCACCACTTTGACACAGGCTCGTTCAAGCGAAATCCAGAAGCTCTCCGACAACGTGTCCGGTAAGCTCAGTAATGACATAATATGTGATCTCATCCTGCACAGTCTTCAATTTCCACAGATCCGAGACCGGAAGTTACAGATTGGTGCAAGAGCTGCTCACCCCAACACGTTCACTTGGATCTTTAACAAGGGTGCGCAAAATGGACTTGAAAACTCGAACTTTGCAAAATGGGTAGAAGCAAAACACGGGTCGAAAAACATCTTCTGGGTCGCCGGCCGTCCAGGATCTGGCAAGTCAACGCTGATGCATTTTCTATCTCTGGCACCTCAGACAAATGACGCCGTAGCATGTTGGACCGAGCAAATGCCTCTTCTGCAAGCTGCCTCGTTCTTCTGGCTCTCGGGAACGCGTTTGCAAAAGTCGCTGTCTGGCCTCCTTAGGGCACTGTTGTACGATCTCCTTTGTCAAGACGTTTCCCTGATTGAAGAGGTGGCCCCATTGCGATGGCGAGCCTACTCGTTGGGTTTCAGCACGCCAGCATCGTGGTCGAATGCGGAATTGATAGAAGCCTTGCGCGACTTGGTGCAGGCTACAGCAGCGAGTCATCGAATCTTTCTTCTCATTGACGGGCTCGACGAATTTGAGGGCTCATTCGCGGAACAGAGCGAACTTGTTGAGTACCTGAAGTCTCTAGCCCACTGGGCCAATATCAAGGTCTGTGTCTCTAGTAGACCTTGGCCGATCTTCGAGAGTGCGTTTGGGAACTACCCTCACTTTCGGCTGGAGGAGCTTACCCGGAATGACATCAACCTTTATGTCAATGAGAAATTTGCCAAAGTGAGCGAGTTTGAAGACCTCCAGACTCTCTACCCTGAAGAATGTTCAAAGCTTATCCATGAGGTTGTCAACAAGGCGCAAGGCGTCTTTTTGTGGGTATACCTTGTGGTACTCTCCCTCTCGCAGGGTATGGTGGACGGGGACTCCATGTCAGCGCTTCAAGCGCGTCTAACCGCGATTCCTGGCGATCTGGAGGCGTACTTTCGAAAGATTATTGATGGGATCCCGGAACAATATCGACCGTTGGCTGCATCATATTTCAGTATCATGACGGCGGTTGGCCAGGACGAAGTTTCTGCGCTTTCTCTGTCGTTTCTCGAGGAATCAAGCTCTGACTTTGTGCAAATCCACCCCGTGAAACCTGTTGCATTACCATTAATTGAGGCCCGAAAACGGTCCATGGCCAGGCGTCTGGAAAGCCGCTGCAAAGGGCTGCTACAGGTGAATAAGCTTCGGGATCGCGGCAACTTTGGAGACCAAGTGGTGGACTTCCTTCATCGAACGGTTCGAGACTTCCTCTTATCCAAAGACATTCAACAAATCCTTCAGCAATACTCTTCTGGCTCCTTACACCCGTTTCTGTTTCTCTGTCGCTCTGTCCTTACTCAAATGAAGATGGTTGGGCCCGAGGAACCTGGCTTGTCACACTTGGCCACACAATATTTCACATACGCTGAAAGACTCGAATCCTCCACCGGTCCTGCATATATTGGCCTTACCGAACTTTTCTTCGAACTTGCTCACGGCCTCCTGCTGAAAGACCCACGGGAGCAGGAGCGATACGGGTCTGTTGGTTCGATCCTGAAGGTGGCCATAGCATACCGCTTGGTGCATTACTCAATGTCCAAGATTAGCTCTTCAAAATTCGACGTGAACAAACTATATTGCGCTCACCCTGTGCTGGATCGGGACCACAGTACAGAACGCACGTTTCTGCTGTGGGAGTGCATACCACCAGGAACAATCAAGGACCCCGCAAATCCTGAAGTAACTGTACCAATCGGCGGGCCTCCTGCTCCTGAGTTGTTCGCGGCGTTGTTCGCAAGAGGCGCTAATCCCAATCTTAAGAAGGACGAACTGACTATCTGGGAGGAATATCTGCGCCAGGCGAACGCCATGCTTGACAGACACCGTTCTGTGCGCCTCAGTGAAGGGTCCTGGACCCGCACAACACGCTTGTTCATCGAGCATGGGGCGTCGTCCTCTGGGAGAGATCCTCGTTATCCACCACAATGGCGGGAGAGGGCTGCTGCAGGGAAAAAGTATCGGTTCAACGCTGCACCCCAGGACCTGGCAGATGCAGTCCAACACATCTTTGAAGCGCCCGCGGGAAGAGAGTTGGCCGAAGCTCTGCGAGCCCGGAGTACCGTGACTGGGAGGCTCAAGAAGTTCTTCGTATCGTGAAGGAGGTGAGCATCCCAAACAGATGCGGTATCAGATGCACGATAGCATCAATCGCACGTCAATCGTGCAAAGCTAGGGCAGGGAATATTTGAGGCGTCAGCAAGGTAAGGACGAATAATGAGATGGTTGCCTTGTTTGATCCTGGGCCATTCTGACCAGGAAAAGGCATGAAGTTCTGCCTCATCCAAGAACAGGATGTCGGTCTTCCGCCGGAGATGTCAGTTCTGCCACTTTCGTCTGCAGCACCGCACGATGATTTGCATGTCCCCAACAAGTGGGATGGATTTCTGGTTCCTCATCTCCTGTGCTCCTTGAGTAAAACAGTTCTGCGGCATAGTCGATGTTTTGTTGCGTCCACTCAATCGTCACTTGTGCCCTCTGGCTGTCCCCGAACAGACATTCTCCTTTCTTGCTCGAATCGTTGAGACTGATATAAAAAACCCAGAGCTCGGGGAAACTGAGCGGAAGTGAGTCTGACATAGTCTGCTGAATATTGACAAGTGGGTGGATTGGCTTTCAGGTGATTTGCGTTTTCTCTTCTGTGATTGTGTTTGGAAAGCTTGCCTTCATCTGTGCAAGAGAGGACGCGAGCGATGGTTTCCTTTTGGCTTCCATGTTTCCTTTTGTCTTGACGGAAGCCAAAGTGGAAGATAGCTTGCTCAGTGCCGCGTTCGAGAAGAATCTGTACAGCACAAGCCAGGCGCTCTTTAACATCCACCAGTGAATGCGTCTAGTCCCTCAGCTCCACCGGCAATTTTTTCGACGATGTTCCGACCTTCAGCATAATCTCGATAACGAAGATATGGTATAAATAGATAGCTACATTAGTTAGCCGTTAATTAAGCTATTGTAGCCAATTCTCTATCATTAAGATGTTCCTCTCTCGCCTCTTTCTTTCCTTTAAGATACGATATCAATCGATAAGAGCTTTGAAATAGAAACGTGGTAGGACGTAAACGTCGTACTGAGAATGATATACTACGGTCTCGTAAAAAAAGTCCAGTCCGTAATTACCGAATGTAAAAGAAATATATCGCCAGCGAGAGACGATATACTTAGAATACTCTCGTATCTTGAACGGATCCCATCGTCTAAAGCTAACGAAAGTTGACATTGTGAATGAAGAGAAAGAAGAAAGACTACAAGGCTCCGGCAGAAACTCTGGAATCGCTAAGGGATTATTCGGTACTCAGGAAGCAGAAGGTGAGCCGAGGGTGAGTATAGCGGCGAGCGGCTAATCAAAAAGAGAAGAGGAAGGATAGGCTTTTCGTTCGCTGCTAAGTACTGGCAATACTGGGTACCAAGGTAGCGATAATGTCGGTTCGTGCAACAAGAGGATGTTTCCCGAATTTGGGGCTGAGATTGCGTTACCTCTGTGCCCAGGTCTCATCTCCACCAGTTTGGGGATGGGACCTGGGTTCCTTTTTTTTTGGCGCGAGGTCCAGCCGACGGGAGGGATCGATTGACAACGAAAACCAAGCTGACTGGCTTGATGAGAAGGCCTCGGCCCCTCCTGCTAATCGGTTGGTAACGGTCGTCTCTTTACAAGGAAGCTCATGAGTTTAATACGCACCTGACCTCGAACCTCGAAAATCTTAACCAAGTGTGGAATAGATGAAACCAGAACAGCAACAGGCTGCAGTTGGAGGCTCTACTGCATCTGTCGGCGGAGAAGGTCCTTCAAGCATCAGAGCCGTGCCGTTGACGGGTAGAACACAAGGCGAAGGAAAGAACCGTTCAGGGGCTGAAAGATGGAGGGCGCAACGCCTCACTAGCCTGTCAACGGCCCTTATTCGCCTGTTCTCGGCAAGAGACGCATGTCCCCCGCCTACCCTAGACCCTTGGCTATGGAGCCCGCCTGCCCCTAGGTGGTCCCTGGTGGGTGCTCGGTGGGTGCTTGGGGTTTGCTTGGTGCCCCTCCGCAACTTGCCATGGGGGCCTGGAACTTCATCACAGCTTCCATCCCACCAAACATTTTCTTCTAAACCTCGTCTTCCCTGTTCACTCACCATGGGCACTAATGCACGCCGATTCCTCTCCTGGCATCTGCTCCACGCGTCTTCTCTCTCATGACCCAACCGTTTTGCTCTTCCCTGCCTCGAATTGGCTGTGTGCAACCGTTGCAATCACTGGGCAAGCTGCTCAGCACCGTTTGAGGCAACACCGCACTTTGGAATGGTAAGGCTACCATGGGACGCAATCGGGCGCACCTGTGCTCTTTGGACCATGGGAGGGACATGGACTTCACCCTGGCCATAGGTGGTCTTCCGTTTCGTTGGTTTCATCCCAACTCTTCTCTCCACGACTTCTGTCCGTACGCCTTGCCTCTCGCATGCGTTGCGCTCCAACAGTAAATGCGAGCGCGAATCTGCGCCATGAGTTGACAGCCTAGCCCACGACAGCATTTGCGGAGATTCCTCAGCTTGGAGAATCGGGCTGAGATGGATATCGCCTCGCTTGTTCGAGCTGGTATGTCCCTATCTCAATGGAAATGCTTTTTCTAACCTCCAATGTCAGTCATCGCAGCTTTCGACGACGCTACGAAACTGGTCCAGCGTATTCGTGACCAAAGAACGAAGAGCGATGGCTTGCAATTGCCGGAAGAAGCCACGCGAGACCTACTAGAATCTCTTGCCCTAGGACCCATTATTGTCCGTGGCCACTATGAGCATGATCTCAGACGATTCGGAGAACCTTATGCCTGTGGTGATATACAAGCGCGGGAACAGCTAAAAGATGTCTTAATCAATTTACAAATGTCTCTGATCATCACCTTGAGGACAGTGTTTATGGATGGCATCGAGCTTGACTTTCCTGCCCTCCAGGCAGCGTCAGATGATTGTCGAGTCAATGCCGGGGTCTGCCTTGGTCAACTCTCACAGCGACTTTCGGATGCGGTGAAAGCGCAGGCATTCTACCCTCAAACGCTGTCTTATTCGTCAACGCCTGGATTATTGCCTCCTCTATCTCCGTCCTTGGGCTATTCCAGCAGCCGCAGCACTCACTCATCAGGCGCCTTTCCAGCCCCTCGCACTCCCGACGCTATGGCGGAGCAGTTTGGTCAACTCAGCATGTCGCCATCATGTCGGCATCCATTTGAAGATCGTAAGATGTCGATTAGTTCTGGAGGATCTCAGGAACAGTATCTGCATCCTCAGTCTACCACAGTCCATCGATCAGTCGCGGGGATCCATGTGACCGCACCGGCGGTCGGAGTTCATAGAATTGACGAAGGTGACGACAGAAGTATGCGGCGACGGTCGTCTCAGGCCCTGGCATCGGATGACAACATCCTGTTGATGTTTCCTCAGCCCGGCGGCAAGCCAGTTTTGACTCTCCCAGCAAACGGACAAGATATTGATCAAGAATCATATGCCTCTTCGGTCAAGAACAGTGCCGCACCGTCACCCGAATTATCCCGAGCGTCCAGTGGTCATCAAAGTCAGGGCTCGAGAGATCGATTCGGACCAGATGACTACGGAGACCATATTATAAGGGGAGACGGCAGGCAATTCAGCAATAGTACAATCTACGACATGTACCAGCAAACGACTCCAGAAAGACAGGCTTCTACCTCTTATTCCTCGAGAGCACAAGCTTCCAACCACACCAGCCTGGAGCATGTGCGATATCTGCAGGAAAACAGCAGGCCACCAAGACGAGAACCGAGATCTGATTCACTTGGCGTCGCAATGAGAGCAAATCGCGAGATCCCTCGACGACCAGTTCGTTGCCCGACAGACACTACAACCCTAACGCGAGAATTCCTGTCTCGTCCGTCCGTCTCTGCTCCTATTCCCATTGAGCCAGCTCGTACCCCGCCACCCACGGGCCCTCTCCCGCGACCGCCTGCACAATCCCATTCTCAATCGGTCGCTTCCAACCACACCTTGCCCCCTCCCGATCGTGTGCCTTCAGTCCACACCCTCGCCTCGTCCACTGCTCCGTCCGTTAATCCTCTGATAAATACCGCGCCCCCCATCCTTCCCACCGATAAAAGCCTTCTCGGCTTCTGTAAAGGTGCATTCCGCCTTCAAGCCGGCATGGAGCGCAAGGCATTTACCATTGCCAACCGGCCCCATGGCTTATCCGGGATGACCTCGTATTGGCGCTGCGAGAAGTGCAATTTCGAGGGGCCCGTCCACAACACGATAAATACCTCGGATGACAAAAAGAAGAAGGGGAAGCCCGAGAGAGCCTTTGATCCTAGAATCCGTCTTTCTGAAGGTGGCGGTATCCGGTATCGTTGGACTTTCCTAGCGAAGTGTCATGTTTCATTGAAGGGGATGGTGCTACTTGATGCAGCGTCTGGCAGGGATGGGAGTTTCGGCAGTTTTGGGTGCATCTTTTGTTGCGCGGAGGGGAAGCGTCGAGGGTGGTTGGATACGTCAAGGACGGCCAGCATTGTTGGTGGCCCGATTACTGGGTCGAATGCGAGCACCAAGTCGGGACGTACGGCCAACAATACGGCAAAGGCCGAGGCTATGGCACAAGCGACGCCCATCTTTGGCAACGTTAGCAGTTTCATGCAGCACCTTGAGAGCGTCCATCGACACCAGGATGGATGGCCAAACGCCGAGATGGTCGGTCGGTTCCGCGTCGTGGTAGGTAGAGTGGCGCCGGTAGAAGAGACAGGTTGGGAGGTGAATTTTGTACCGTTTTGATCACAAACCATCTTGGGGGAGGCTTTTGGTTCGGCATCTGACAAGGCTGGCTTCGTTTCAGGACATATTGGGAGGCATTGTGCGCTGCTGAGCGTCCTATGTCTGGAGCTAATTGTCGAAGGGATGTACATTGGGACTTATGAGGTTTTGTCACCTGCGCACCTAGGTATTCAAGCACCGTGTAGGGAAATGGTTGCAAGATGAGTCTAAGAGCCTGTACGAGCCTACCTGGACGGATGTGATGAGACGCCTCTCTGAATCCTCCTTGCGAGGTAACCAGTCTAAACAGGGCAGGATTCACACGGTGCTCGTGCATAGAAGCTGCCAATCACGCAGCTATTTGACCAAGGCACAGGTTTTCTTTTCCGAAACCTCACGATATCACCACAGAACTCAACCAGGTGACATCCTTGTTACTCAGGTGCGCTTTCAATCTCTCAGAACCGCCGAAGTCGACTCGGCACCGGTTCGTAACGCTGTCGAGCGAGCTGGACGACCAGACGCTCGCCATTTTTGTGTCTAGAAGCACAATCTAAATCTCTCACCCAGCTCAGCCGCGCGGTGCAAGGCACGCCATCCGCTATCAGAATGGAAGCTATCGCTGCACTCAGTCTTGCATGCAACGTCATTCAAGTCAGTGATTCGTCTTGGAAGGCAGGAGAGACTTGCAGCCACTTTTCCAAACATGGGACGACCATTGATATCAAGGACTTGAGCTACACGAGTGAGCAACTAGCTTAAACCACTGTTGCCCTCGACAAGCCCTAGTCCGCTCCGGCCGGAACAAGACCATCCAAAAGCGATGTCGAGCTGGTCGAATGGGCAAAAAGGTGCACGATACAGCAGTGTCTCTAAACAAGGAGCTTAGCTCTCTCAAAAGTCTTTCTGGAGCTGGTCGGAGAGCTGCGCTTGTCAACACACTGGCTTTGAAATGGCGGCCTTCTCGTATCGAAGTGTGAAAGAGGAGGCTACAAGGACTTGTTCGTTCGGGGTTTGGACAACAAGAACCTTGTTCAACTGAGGTACACCATGACTTTGAACAAATGGAAATCCACTACTAATTGTTCCTTGACAGTGAGAAAGTGAGTGTCACCGTCCGCAACCAGGGAGAAATCCTGAAGTCGTTGGATGGTAGACATGAAAAGATCGCTCTGAAAATCGTACAGGGTACTACGACCGTGGAGCTGCTTGTGTCTTTGGTGGGTGACCAGACAAGAGCTCACGTCACGTAGGAGCGTATCAATACCAGAAGTGGCATTGACCACTTCGACAAGATGATCGATAAGTTCGTGGGTATTCAACATGAACAGGTTGGATTTAATAAGTTTCTAGAAAGCCTCCATTTCCCGGAGATGAAATTGAGACAAAACAAGAGTGAGCAAGCTCATGAGAAGCTTCACCTTTGAATGGATATTCGAGAGATGTGTGGACGCAACTCAACATTGGCATAGTTTTCCCGATTGGTTACAGAAGGACCAGCCGCTCTACTGGATATTGGGAAAGCCAGGCTCAGGCAAATCTACCTGGATGAATTTTCTCGTGCATGACAGCAGGACTCTGGAAGAACTGGAATCTTCAGGACGACCAACGAATGTACTGGCTTTCTCCTTCTGGGAAGCTGGTTTTGAACTGCAGAAAAGCCGAATCGGTCTTTTACGCTCATTGATATACCAACTCCTCAAAGCAATCGATCCCCGTAAGGCACTCCAGGTCTGGTCTGATGTTGTTCAACCACATATCGCACCCCTGCCGAGTATATGGACCGGCAAGCAACTACTTCGCCTCCTACAACTAATTGCAAAAGCCGTCGATCAACGTTTCTGTATTTTCCTCGACGGTCTTGATGAATTTCAAGATGACGTGGACGCATCCGAGGCTCTAAGGGCTCTACAGGATGTGTTCAAGAATCAAAGCCGTATAAAGATGTGCATAGGACGGATGAGGAAATTCGCAAAATTCCCGGCCTGGGGAATTTATGGGAGGCAGTTCAGTGAGTGAGTGACAGAGACCAACAAGGTCAGAAAGGAACGCCTCTTCCAGAAGACGAGATTGAGGATGATTGTGCATTGCCCATGCTCGGGAAGGTTTAATAGGACGACGACAAGCTCTTTAATGTTTATGCTTCTACGACGTCGAACGGAACCTCGAGATCTTGTGGAATTTTGGAAACAGACTGCCAGAGCTCAAAATAATTGGATGAGGAAAGGTTAGGAATCCAAGAGGACCTCGTCTGTCTATCTACAGGAAACAGCAATAAAAAGACATACTGTTCAGCCTGAAACAGTTCCCTTCAGTTCTTGCTTCGCCCAGAATGAACACGACCTCTGCCGTATTCGCCCGACGGTTCCAATGATCACGGGGCCTAGAGAACCCAAGCATCTCCGAACTTGATTTGGTCCCATGAGTCGGTCATTTGCAACTCGCTTCGCCAGCGCCGCAGCAGGGCGCCTCAAGAGTTTACAAGTACATACGCGAAACTGGGCAAAATCGATCGGCACAATCACTTGCAAATCTAATCGCTCTTGGCCAATGATCCCCCCTCTTGCTCGCCTCTCCCTCTATTAGCCAGGCGTATCGGAAGCGTGTTCATGATGAGGCTGTGGCAGCCCAGCCTGAGATTTGGCGCCTCTAGTCTAGACACGAAGCCACATCACTCCAGTAGGTCGGCTGTGTTGGCATGTGGCTGCCACAGCGCAACATGTTCGGAATATGGGCAATCGTTCAGACCAATCTTCGGGAATCTCTTGCAGCCCACCCCACGCATGTGAAGTTGGAAACTCTTGGTGGTTCCCTCCTTCCACCCATATATCTCACCATCCGCTCCACACAGGGCATCAGGCTGAAGGCACCAGAAACCCTCTTCTCCACCGTCCTTAATTGAAGACTTTACAGACTATAATAGATGTCAGTGGCTACCATGGGAGATAACAATCACCAGAGTACTCCGTCGGTGGTAGCTAGGACGGCAAGTGTCCTAACAGGCATCACTCTCGTAGCTTCTCGCCCAGAACAACTATCCGAGACGCCATCCGCAAAGCCTTCGACTGAACAGACCTCAGGGGGCTCTCTATTGGGCAACCGGCGAGTAAGTAGTGTGCCTGAAGCACCAGAGTCAGCTCGCCCGGCGGCGTTGAGGCAGCTTTTGGGCAATGTCGAAAACTTCCAAAACCGGTCAAGGCTTGATGTCTTGCAAGTGTCGAAGCAGAAGACAGGTAAGTGTGAAAACCTCCACTTGAAATCTCAGGATCTGATCATCAGGATGGCATAACGACGTCGGCGATGAGATGGTCAAAGCTATTATCTCAGTAGGGTTGGATCTTAACACCGGAATCCTCTAGCCCATGCTCACTGACGTGCAGGAAACCGAAAAGGACTGCAATCCTTCGCACCCTTCACTTCTCCTTTTGTGTGATACTCCGCTTGATCCCCCCTTTTACGGCTCGGCTATGGTCGCTGACTGTCTATGAGTCTGGTATACCTCGAAAAGAACCCTGGCGCGACTTGGGGACGTCGCGCAACCATTTCGGCCGACGCCATGAAGTACATTAGTAGGAAATGGCCAATCAATGGAGAAATTCTCCGTGACATCTTCGGCCGACCTGATTATTGGTCTGCTGTAAAGACCTCACGAGAAAATCGACATTATGGTACGTTGACAATTTTCGTCGAGAAAGTTGTGGTGACCAACTGCAGGTCTTGTCGAAAAGAGGTTGGATGTCAGTTCGCTCGATGGCTCATGAGCTCGAGGTGGGATAACAAGGCGGGTCCTGTATCACCGGTTTCCATATCCTTCCGGCATATCGTACCAGAGAATCTCACTGTCTACATTATTTCGGGCGATCCAAAGGACAGCTGCATCAGCTCGCTCAAAGACCAGCTTGGCTTCGCCGAGGGATTCAGCCCCTCCGAATATATTCGGCTCGAACAAAGGAGGTCCGCACAAAGTCCCTTCCTAATTGTGGCCCACACCTTACAGGCATCGCTCGAGCAGGCTAAAGACTATGTGGCTATTGTCAAAGACCGATTGATGGGCCAGGTACGTTAGCTTGAGTAAAGGAAAGGCACAACATGCTCACTGGGAAAACCTAGATTAACAAAGTCGACGACTACAATGAAGCAAAGCATAACTACACAGAAGACCCCAAAGACTTGCAGCGCTTCTGGAGAGACAAGGGTAGAAATCTCCTCGAAGCCATCACAGAACAACTTCATCTAGTCTCTCAAACCATTGATTCCGGCATGGCCAACACGGACATGTCGATCAAACTCACCGATATCATTAAATCTGCCTTTGATTCCAGCCCGTTAGCGAAGAGCCCTCAAGAGAGTGTTGTTGCAGAGACTGCGGAGCTGCTCGAATACCTTTCACACTCGTGGAATTGCGAAATGAATTGGCTCAGGACGTACAAGGCTCGGAAGGACACTACAATGAACTTCGTGAGTCACTGGAATATGCGTATCCATCCCGATTTGTCACAACGGGAACTTGCTGACGATACAAACGACGACCGTAGGTCTTCAACGCAGTGACGCAGCAGGACAGCGCCATCAACATTGACATGGCGCGCAAGATGTCCCGGGACAGTTCGTCAATGCACGCCATCACGATCTTGACCATGATCTTCCTCCCCGCTACGTTCGTGTCGGTGAGTACGAAATACCCATTAGCGGGCTGGGGAGCAGAAGGAGGTCCATCCTTCCCTCTTCTTTCTAATGTTTTTGCAGGGCGTCTTCAACAGCGGTATCCTGACGTCGGAAAAGTATGAGGGATACGTCCGGTCTCCGCTCTTCTGGCCATATATTTGGACCGTCATCCCGTTCACCGTCTTCGTCCTCACGCTCTGGCTGACCCGGAAGAGGCTGGAGAGGGCACTAGAATGGGTTCATGGACGTTGCAAAGGCGTGTCGCCTCGAAACCCTACTCGAGGTGGGACGCGATCATCATCTCAGAAGGAAGAAGTTACTGGTGACAAGCCTTGAATCAACGAAAGTTTGTTTGCAGGAACGTGTGATTGCTGTGGTGGGCTCTTGCTTGGTCGTGGCAAGACGAGGCTGGTGATCCTCGGGGGCAAGCATCGGTAACTCTCTCGCCAGCTGAGTCTGCACTAGCCTATACCTCTTGTTTTTTAAACTTCGTTCCGTGTTTCGGATCAACAAAGAACTTAACTCGGAGTTCAACGGAGCCTCGAGGAATATAACGTTATGAGGCTGGTTATCAAGCTCGTGGATGAGGCTATCAACCAGAGCTCTCTGCCATGCCATAGCGATCAAAGACAACTGCGGGACGAAGACATCCGAAACCCGTGATATCTGCTCAGAAGTATTGTGCAAGCAGCCCACCAACCGACTTACCACGGCCAATGCGAGTTTGCAAGTGTCATGGGATTGGCGCACCGTGCCAGGCTGATCCTTGCTCAAGGGATGGTTGCCTGGAGCTAAAAAGGTCCCGACGAATGGCAAGACACAAAACCATATTTCTGGATAAACCTCCCATCATGTTCATTCCCATTCCTCGGCAGCGAACAGTGAACGGGTTCTGTCGAATCATCACCGCCACGGATTCGGCGCAACGCGGGCTCCCGTCCGTAGGCTTGGCTCTCTCTGACGGACGAAGGGCGGATGACTCGGTAGGACCGTCTCAAGATGGCCGAAAGGAATAGGCACATTTATTCAGCTCGCTGTGGAACGAGGAGCATGCCTGTGCCCCGTACCGATGTCCTCTCTCAGACCAGGGCGTAAGCCACATTGCAAACTGAGAATGCTCTGGGCTATTAAGGCCGCTGGCGGCAAAGCGAATACGGCATGAAGAAGGCGTGTGCAGGGAAGATCTGGTGATGGAATGTTTGTGTGGGTGCAACAGTACAAGTATTTCAGACTCTTGAAGCGACCAAACCTATCAGTGCCTTTTGCAGAAACCACTTCAACTTGATACACTTCCCCGGCACTCGCAGCTCCACTTTCAAGATCGACATGGCTTCTCAAGAGATATCTGCAGAGTTTCCTTTCACCAAACAACGTGTGCCTATCCTTGATTCGACGATGGCGTACATTGACACCGGGGCGCCAAATCCCACCTCACCGGCCGTAGTCTTCGTACACGGCAACCCAACCTCGTCTTACATCTGGCGCAATGTCATTCCACATCTTTCACCGATCGCAAGATGCATTGCGCCAGACCTCATAGGGTTTGGCGATTCAGGCAAGATGCCTTCAAACTCGTATTATGTCCGCGACCACATCCAGTATTTCGATGCGTTCATGGACAAGATCATCGACAATGATGGCAAGGAGAAGTTGTTCTTGGTGGTCCACGACTGGGGCAGTGCCCTCGGATTGCACTGGGCGAGCCGGAATGAGGAGAAAGTGGCTGGACTAATCTTCATGGAGTTCATCCTCCCGGGGATGAAGCTGGACGATCTGCAGGACGGACGGCAAATATTCCACGACTTCCGCACGGAGGGGATTGGCCGCAAGCTCATCGTCGAGGGAAACGTCTTCATCGAGCTCGTCCTCGCCAAGGTCGGCGTCAGACGAGGCCTGACGGAGGCAGAGCTGGCGCATTACAGGGCCCCGTTCCTCGACCCGAAGGCTCGTGAGCCGATATACCGCTTCCCGAACGAGCTTCCCTTCGACGGTCACCCCGCGGACGTGGCTGAGCTTGTGCAGGCGTATTTCACGTGGTTGACCGCCACACCCGTGCCGAAGTTGATGTTCTGGGGCACTCCCGGTGCCATTGTTTCGGTCGAAAGGGCCAAGGTGCTGGCTGATCAGATGAAGAATGTCAAGAGTGTTGGAGTCGGCCCTGGAAACCACTATCTACAGGAGGATAATCCGCACCTGATTGGGAGAGAGACGAAGGAATTTGTCGAGCAGGTTTGGAGGAGAAAGGAGTAAAGGCCAATTGATCATCTGAACGTTATTTAAAGTGTCCACATGTTGAACTAATCTGGGACCATAACTTGACTGATTGTTTCGGACGGAAGAGACGTTTTATTTGTGACAGAAGAGGCTTAAATACTAGCCAGTGCTGCAGTGCCAAAAGGTCTTCGATATTGTCTAATTGGGCTAGTCCAATACCCTGCTGTGCCCAACGCAGTTGTGCGTACCTAAGTATTTCTAGTTGGTAGTCCCTTTTCCTGAAACTTGCTTGGGCTCCGGTAGAGTCTATTATACTCAGTCCTGTTCCTGATTATATTTGATTGCAGGTGAAGTTGCAACTGGTGCACAGTTGTACCGAACTAGAGTCAGGCATGGGCGGTTCCAGCAACCCGTCCAATAGCTCGGAATCACCGATCAAGGTTCCCTTTGTTGCGTTTGAATTGGGCAGTGCGGCTCTTAAACCCGCCCTCAGAGAGGAAACACTCCAGGGCTGCAAACAGCGTATCCCAGCGCGGATGATGTCCTTCCCGACCGCATCACAGCGATGTCTTCTACTAACTCCGTGTCGTTGCCGGTCCGGGCATTTCTCTTGCTTGGAGCCATGTCCGCGGTGCCGTGAACCTAGAGCGGGCGCAACCTAGAGTAGACGCTGCCTGGTCTAGGCTCTCTGTATAATTGAGGAAATCGCACCGCAGCGAAGAAACTTCGCCACCATATTCCGGTCAGATTCGTAAAAATCTCCAAGGCATATTCTTGCCTTGCATCCGAGATACCGTAGATCTTAACGTTCTTGAAGTGTTTGCAGTCGTCGGAAAAATTCCCTGTACCGAAACAGTCGTTCCAGTCGCGGGCTGTATCGGATCCATATATACTGAGCAATTCATCATAAACTGTGGTCCATGCCCAGTTCCCGCTCTCCAAGTCCCCAGTCTGATAATGAATGAAAGGTGAGTTTGCATCTTCGAACGCCATCTCGAAAGTGATGACACGAAGTTCATCACCGGATATGCCGAAGTGCTGACGAGCCATCTGGAGATCGTACAGTATCCACTCCGTCTCGAAATCGAATAATTCACCGGCCTTGAGCGCGTGCAGGATATGCTCCTGACCATGAGTGAAGTTTCCGTTTAGCCAATGGCAGATCCCCTGTGCCCAGTGCGCCACAGATATCATGCACTTATTCAACCGAATTCCATTGAACCTCACATTGCAGGTGACTTGTGCAGTTTCGCTGGCCACCTCCGCTTCTTGGTACCATTTGCACGACTCTTCTAGAGCCCCCTGACACGCAGAGCTTTGGGCTACCAGAAAAGCAAAGCACGCGTCACGTGGATAAATCAGCTCGTAGAGAGCCGTCGCAAGTTCCCCTGCCAGTTCACATTCACCAGCATGAAGCTGGCGAATCACTGTGTCGAGTCCGGTATCTCGTACCCATGCCCAGCTCTCGAAGCCCGAGCTGCGTGTGCGAGGTCCTATGCGATATGAATCAACAGCGAGGCCTTGGAGCACATTCAACAAGAGTTGTGCCGCGTCCATCGACTCGTCGCTCTCCAGTTCTTGTTGAATCCAGATGTCACACTTTTCGGATAATCCTCGTGCCTGGTACTCGTCTCCTTGACAGCCTCCGTATGGTCCCCACGTCGCATTCTCATAACCGGGAGAGTCGCATGGGGTGGGATTTTCTGTCCACCTACTATTTAATAAGTCGTCCCAGATGTGGAGACATTGGCACCATCCAGGTAAGGAGAAGTCGCATGTTACAGCTGAGGCGTCCGGAACCAGGTCTGTCCACTGGAAGTGCATTAAGGCTGGAGCAAGTACTGCACAATCACGGGGATTCCTTTCATACAGTTCAAACAGTGTTGAATTGGGGCCGAATGCCTGGTAGAGGACAACACCAAAGACTTCTGAAAGAGGGAAGCCTTCGAGAATGCAACAGAGGTGACCGGATTCATACAGATCCTGAACGAAGCTCAAAGCAGCAGTGCGATCCGCCCAATACAATAGCAATCTTCTTTTCAGCCGAAAAACATTTCGTGTTAGCTTGTCTTCAAAACCAAGCGCTTTCGTACGAAACGTTAACGCTTTACTAAAGAGAACGTCTGCCTCCTCGTAGCGTTCATCAAACATGAGCAGTTTTGCAATACCAAGCAGCGCTCCTGCAGTTGATGGGTGTTCTGGGCCATACATTCGAGCACGAACTTCGGCAAGCCACGTGTACCAGGTTTCAGCAAGCCTAGGCAAGAACTCATCCTCTCCTAAGAGGATGTTGGCGTAGCTTCCGGCAATCTTCAGAGAGAAGGGATGTCGATAATGTAAGCGAGAACAAGCTTCTTGATAGGACCATTGAACTAGGCCAAGGTGGTCGACCCTGTCTCCAAGGGTGTAGGAATATCTCCATGGCACTGCCACGAGTCGCGAGTGTGGTGGCATGAGGAGCCTCGTCAAGCTTAGAACAGCATCATCTAGGATACCCCAGAGAAGCATCATTTTCTGAATGAAGGTCTCAAGCCACTCAGGCCATGTTCTCGCTCGAAGGGCATCGGGGTTGAGATGTAATTCATTCTCCTCGATAGTAGCAGTAGAGAAATACTCTTTGACGGACTCGAAAATGTCCTCGGTGTGCGAGCGTGGATAGATACCAAGTACCCAGCCAGCCTCGACGAGTCGCATAGCCTGTGTTGCATAATAGATCTGCATTGGCCGACCGAGCCTCGAACGTACCCAAGCGTGGATCAGAGGATGCATTGAAAACGAGTCCAAGTCTTCCAGATATTCGAGTAAAGAGTATGAGCTGTATAGGCCAAAGCAAGAGTCCAGACGCATGTCGCTCCACTGGCTTTTCGGTGGCTCCATCCATCGCTGGAGCTCATAAAGAAAAGAGAAGGACCCAGTCATTGGATGACTGGGCAGGACTGCATATCGTAATAGCTTCGGGTCCAGGTCACGTCGATTGAGGAAACCCATCAATTGGAGGAGTTCTGCTGCAGCTCGGTCTTGGCTCTCGATAGCCTGGAATGAGATTTCCCAAGTCGTAAAAATTGAATCGTTGCGGTAGCCCCGTAGAGCGACGGCAGACTGCTTTTGCAACTGCCCCAAGAAGGCTGTTTCATAAGCCGTCAGCTCCTCTTCCAGCCTCTGCAAGATCTTATGTTGTGTGCCACGAAAGATGAGAAGGCGTCGTGATATGTACGCACTTGCTTGCGCTATCGCAAGCGGCATGTCGCCGAGTTTGTCCAAGACGCTGTCGAGGAGTTTCATCGCTAGGCCCCGTTAGTGGCCCATGTACACGACAATCTGCACACGTACCTGATGACTCTGATTGGAGTTCCAAAGACAATTGTTTGAGAAAGAGAGCTCTGGAGTCTTCCCGGTGGAGTTCTGACAGCTTTATGCACCTCCACTGAGACCATTCACAGCTCTCTAGTCGTCGGCTCGTTACGAGCACCTTGCCCTGCACATCGTAAGGAAAGAAATCGCGTACATCGAAACTCTCGAGATCGTCAACGTTGTCGAAGAGCAGTAGCCACGGTAGATCCTGCCGCAGCCACAGCCAACCTTTCACAAGTCTGTAATCCATCACACACTCAGACTCCACTTCATTTTGGAAAGTCGTGTTGCTTTTAGCCCATTTCCACTCTAGATATTCCTGTGCGACAACCGGGTCATCTTTGGCCAAGAGCTCCCGAATTCTCCGGAAACTAGCACAACACGTTACGTAGCTGGTACCATCGACCTCCAGTATAGCGCCGAAGTGTTCTCCGTAACTCTGCAAATATGCCATGGCCGTCTGAGTCTTGCCCATTCCTCCAGCTGCATAGATGCTGACAATGTTAAGAGAGTCTGGCCGACTTGGTGTCCAGAGCAGTTGATGCACGCGCTCCAGAGTGTATTCGCGACCAACGAAGTGCTGTGTCACTGGTATCCCTAGGGATGACCGTACTATAGTTGCCTTCACAGGGCGCGAGGGGACACTTATAGACTTGCTCCTGCGCAGAGAAGCAAAAATGCCTCTCAGCTCTTCAAGAATCACCTGCAAGTTGGGGTCGTCAGCGGCGCAGAATTTATTCATTCCGCGATGATCTGTGTCCAGCCATCGGTTCCGAGGGTAGCCTAAAGCACCTGGATGCATTTTCACGGCCTAACGCAGTTGGTTGGTGTATTAACCCATTCAGGAGAGAACATACAGGTCCAACAACGATTCCAAACTTCTCCTCAGGCCGCATTTCTGCAAAATTGCAGACATAGATAGAACCTTCAGTGCTGCTCGAATATGAAGGTGGATAGGACCTCCTGAAGTCTTTGTCAAGTTCATAAATGTCTTTGCTGTTCTCGGTCATGAACCTTAACAGTCTTGTGTCAGAGCCGCGCCAAGTGGCTGTGCACGCAAGCATCGAGGCAGCTTTCGTGAAGCTGGTTCCAGCATGAGGAACACCGAGGAAGATGATTGCCTTTGTTGCTGCAGCAACATGACTGGATCGCTGGCCCAGTGCCAGAAGCAGGCTCTGATGGAGCTGTGAGCACCCTTGATCCCGATATAATATTGCAGGTAGGAGGATACCTTCTTGAGTAGGATGCCGCCAAAGCTATGTGCGATGAATATAATGGGCCTCGTCGGATCCTCAACCACAATTAATATTTACGCAGTATCTTATGCGGTGGCATTACCGTGTGGAGGTCTTCGATGTGACCTAAGAGCTGGCCAGCATGATCGCTTAGCTCCATATTGGGCGTCCTCGAATCCCAACGAGTCTGATGATTCAACATCACAATTCTAGCCGATTCAAAGCCCTGCACGGGCAATATTTCTCGCAGCCATGAGAGAGCGTGAGTGCCATTACGACAAGACCAGGCATTTTCTGGATTCGCTCCCAGGCCATGTATTGCTATAATGCTGCACTCTAGTTAGTGCCTGAAATCAGAGAGCTCACTCACTCACTCACTCGACGCTAATACTGTTATTGGGTCGGTAGAGCTCCTGAAAGTTCTTCAACGGGGGATGAGCCTGATAGGGGGACCAAAGGTCCATTGGCGTAGGGATTAGAAGCTGTGCTGGCGTCAACGTCAGCCATATGTAGGCTACGCCAATTGTAGGTATGGCGAGCCATAAGCGCGACAGGCCTGCTCTCTTTGAAAGAAGGCGTGACACCTCCAATGACAGACGTAGCACAACAGTGTTTGCGAAGAACAATGTCGCACAGATCGCATTTTGTTTAACAGTGTAGGCGGCGAACAGCACCCATAAGGCAGCTTCGACTGGCGTTACGTGCTGGTTGGCAATATCCATACCTACCCAGATCCTTCCATCATCCTGCTGGGAGGCACAAGAAGACTGAGCAGAACAGTCGGACGTGAGGCTGAACTTCCAAAAGAAAATAAAGGCTTGGCCTTAAGGAGCGTGGTAGCTTCCACGAGCCCTTCTTAGCCATTCTTGGCCATTACCCCGCCAAGCCTAGCATCTATAAGCTTTGAATCAAGATAGTAGGTTTGCCGACTACCTCGTGCTTGTGCGTAAAGACGCGCTCGGCGGCTCGACGGTTCAGACACGCTAGTACCTGCCTTGGCACTACCTAAGTAGGTAACCCCCCGTCTACACTTACCCAACCCGATAGTCAGACAGTTCTCCCGGGCCTTGTTAGAGTCCATCCTGTCCTCCATTGAGCGTCCTTGTCCCAAAGCGGTTCCTCAGGTAAGGATGGGGTGGAACAGGGTGCACAACCATTAAACGATCAAATGGCCAGTATCTCCATTTACTACAGCTGTCTCAAAGGCTCACGTCGATAACTCATGCGAGCCTTGAGGGGTATCACTCGTGTTGATAGGCCTGGTACCCAAGAACCACATTGCCAGCTAACGACCGTGAGCCTCCAGCACCTGAACTTCCACTGCATGATGTATCTATCACTTTAGCTCTGGGTGTTATTTCATCGTCAGTGTCTTCCGCCAGAATATGAGGAGTTTGGGAATGGCATGTATGCAAGGTCTGTGACTTCGAAAGTATGCTTTGATTCGTCTGCAGTGACGTCGCCCCGATCGATTGTCAGATTGTCGTCTAGCATGATTGGGTTGTCTAAAAACAGTACATTAGCCAGAGTCCACATCGGCTCCACGACATCGGATGAACTTTCGTTATCTGGCCTGGAACCAGACTGCACCCTCTTGGCTACGCTGACAGCAGGATTGCTTGATTCTCGCTGGAAGCTATGGCTTTAAAAAAGCCCTCCTTCCGAGTGAACCTGTCGAATCCGTCTTCTAACATCGAAAACATGGGGCTTGGGTATCGCATTCCTTCAAATTTCTAAGGGGACCCTGCAGGGATGAAAGGTCCCTCGCATCGCTATAGTAAGAGATTTCGTTCTAGTTTTAGTCGTCGTCTTTGCTGCCTTCTTTATTGCCGTCTGCCTAACTGACCCTGTTAGTGGTGCTGCTTCTGGTGACTCGGGCGCCGAATTGGCTAGTATCGCCATCCATTGGCTCTGAAATTTCTCCTGGGACTAGATAATGTCGAGCTGTGTCCCGTCTTGGGGCCGAGAGGCAGTGTAACTGGATAGCTTCCACAAAATCCGTGCAATCCATTAATCTTATGCACGCAGGACTCCAAGATAAGATGGTGGCATGAAGATGGTTTAGCCAAGAAAGCGCGGCAATCAAACACGGCAGAGCTGCCAGGGGAGCAACTATTACCTCGGGAACTACAGGGCGATGCGAGAACATTCAAGGGAGCTGAGCTGCGAACTCGGCCTCCCAAGCTTCCAGGCATTTCGAGCTTAGAGCCAGTAAATGAGGCATCCACAGTGAACACAAACAGTTTCACAATGAGCAGTGAACGCCTGATCCGAGTCTACTGCCGCCACATCACTGGTCGATTGAAATGGCTTGCTTTGGGAAATACATTTGGGAGCGCTCTCCTAGTGAGTTGTCATTGTATATAGACCAAGAGAATTACTTCAGACGAGACCCCAAACAAACAAATCAATCCATACAACCCCAGAAGACTCTGATTCTGACAAATCCCCATAGACCTAGATGACTGCTACTCACTCCAGTTCTCGGTCAAATCATTCAATGCTCTTTAGTTCCTTGATACTTGGCCATTGTTTCATTGCCTAAGCGCAATGTCTATATACTTCCGACGCTGATGTGGTAAGCTGCTTATTAATGACTGAACTTGAATTTTTGAGTGAGCGAAAGTTAAAAAAATATTAAGACGCAATATTGAATAGATGGAGAAGAGCAAAAAAAGACAGGAAAGCGAAGTGTTACGCAAGATCATCTATAGAGTCGCCAAAGGGAAGCTGAAGGCCCGCTAATGCAATGTTATGGCAAGCTGGTCAATACCACCGCTGAGAGTCTTCTCTCAGGTATTACGTCTCTACTTAGCGACTGCGCAGCATTTTGTCATCGGTACGTTATTACACCTGATTGTGGTGGTGGAACTAATTAAGGGGGATTCCGGTGGAACAGCCCCTTCTACCCTCAGCCTTGTCCGTCCTGGCAAAGTGTTGCCTGCTCTCTGATGTCTCACACCTCCACTCGTTCCTGGGGCATGAATACATCATTCTCAGGCGCCCCAAGCTCACATGCTTACCTTTGATGGACTTAGAGTTACACTACTTGCTGAATAACAGAGTCTTGATCATTGGCTGTTTTTTTTTGGTTATTTCATGGTTTATAGGGTACCTGGGTATTTTCAGAGGACTGGGGTTTGAGTAATGCCTAGGAAATGGCTCTCTGGAGTCAACTAGTGTTCTCCATGCACGGCTTCCTTGGCCCGAGACACTCATGTCCGACTTGGCTATCTGCAGTTGTCCATCCATTGGATGCTGCAAGCAGCTGTCTCTCCGAAAGCCCTTGGCGAGAAACTCTATCCTAACTACTACAAATAGGCGGGGTCGATCTCAACCTCGAAGAAGCATACGGTAGGTTCTTGATTGAGCTGAACAAACTTTGAGCTTCAAACGGTAGAAGCTTCGACTCAAAGTTAGATGAGATACAAACCTAACGCTCCCTTCCTGAAAAGTAGATAGTTACAGAGCATGGCGTTCTTTGTCGCAAATTCACGGCTCAAAACAACACTGAGCCTTCTCGCCATCTCCATCTTGACTTCTCCAGTTTACGCGCCACCATCGGCGAACATTATAGAACGAGATATCCTCACAACCACAACGTCGACACAGCCCTATCAAATTCTCACAACAACTGTCACCATGAATCCCTGCCCGCAACCTTGCGGCTTCTACGCCCAGCTCTGCTGCGCCGCCGACCAAATCTGCTCCACTGACACCAACGACCTCGCTCAATGCGTCTATTCCACAACCGGCCCATCCAGTCCACCGGGCTCTCCACCGAGCTGCTCGCCGTGGTCGACCTCAACATACACGACAACCCTGTCCTTCAGCAGCGTCTCCACCTACGTCGTCACGTACACACGGACCGAACTCGACGTCCAAGTTATCATCGGCACGGTGTCCTGGCAGGTTTTCCCCACGCCGTCGGACTGTTGCGCGCCGCCTACCCCGCAGCCTCCAACATGCGACTACGCGCGAGGCGAGACGCCTTGCGGCAATGTGTGCTGCGCTGAGGGACAGTATTGCCAGTCGGCCGGCTCGTGTGCGTCAGCGACGCCACCGATTCGGCCTACGAGTGCGACTGCCAGTGCGGTGACGGTGACTTTTTCGTCCTCCCTGGCTACAGCTACTTCATTTGCGACGACGGTGTAAAAGAAGCGAAGCGGAAGCGAATGCTGGGAGTTCTAGGGTACAAATAATGCGCCGAGGAGACTAGCCTCAGCCCACAGTGACTTAACTAGTTAGGGGACAAGTCTGGACTTGAGATTAACGGGCGGCCTCGGTGAGCTGCTCAGATCTGGAATAGAAATGGACTTTGGAAGGTCAAAGTTCGACATTAATTGGGTGTTGTAGTATTTTCAGGGCCAAACGCATTCCGTCCCGCTTTTACTTTTCTCTAGCCCTCTAGACATGCCCCGCGATATCTTACACGATCTCGACGTTTTTGCGCATGCTTTCATTCATTCATTAGTCTATTATTTGGATTAGCCGGATTGGCAGGCATTTGCAGCATCCATGAGACCGTCGTCAACCTGATTGAAGTGGCTCCGGATAGCGAAGCCCATTCCATGGTTGCATTGGCCATATCGCTCTGTTTGATGGTCCCAAAGACCATGACCTCCGAACAAGAGGACGATACACACACGGAGGCGGACGGGGTAATTTGTCGATTGTGGTTTAGTGGTGGCTTGGGTCGAAGCAGGTTCAGAGATGTTCAGAGTGAGAAGACCAACAATTGGCTCGGGGGCGCACAGAGCCGATTGACGGCTGTCGAGTGGGGACCTTATATCGCGATGAAGACCACCGAAAATCAGAAAGTTGCAAGCATAGATACAGGGAGCCCGGCCTCGCTAAAGGTTCAGGTCAGTAGCAGAATGGTCTGAGACTCCCGTAGGACAGTGCTCCAGGATACGTGCAACTCCCCTGCATCACGTCGTCGCCATACTTCTTTTGCAACCATTTCTGCCGCTTCCGCATTCTGGAAGCCCGCCCAAGCAGCGTGTCTCATGCAGAGTATGGCGCGACGGCGCAAGCCATCCCCCAGCGCTTCACAGGCAGCGATGAAGCTGGGCCACACAGTGACACCCAACCGCACCCCGGGAAAGAAGCACTGTTTGCTTTCATGATGCATTTCGAGGTTACTGAGGATGCTTTCGACATAGTGTTGCAGTATTATAGGATTGGTGCCTCGCACAAACCGGAAGAAGTAGACCATCAATGCGTGGTGCATCGCTGTGGCGATATTAGACTTCATAGTTTGGGCTGGATCCGGGATGCTGTTGGTAGAGCTGCAGCTCAACAAAATGAAAGTGTCACCGTTACTTTCGGCTTGTCTTTGCGGTGTCTCCCAGTGACAAATGTCCCTTTCCAAGGCTGCAGCGGCCTCGATCAATTCCGCGGGCATGTAAGGCTGAGCGGTTCCATGGTGTTGCGGCGGGTCGATCTGGGCAACCATATTGTTCGTTCTTGCGATCAGCTTTAAGATGGATGCAGGCATACCATAGAAGTCGTTGAAGGTCTCTTCCTCAGGCCCACTCAACCCAAGATCTGACCAGGTCTCATAGTCCGACGCGAGAGTTGCTGAATGGGGAAAGCTATCCTCCGGTATCTTCTTCACAAGTTCTATTTCGTTGGCAAGCATGGGTTTTTTGCCTAGGGTTACGAGATACTGATCCCTCGTTTGGACGAAGGTTGTTTTTTCAATAACCCTGATGTAAGCAAATATTCTGTGCAGTTGCAGTGCTTTGGCAGAGAACGGCCCCTTCTTCCTACCAATCTTGTTGACGATCTCCTCACATTGGAGGATAAAAAGTCGTGAATCCCATGGATCCCCGCTGACGATCTTTAAACCTATCAGCTTAAAACATCTGTAGTCTTCAAGATCTTAAGAAGGCAGACATACCCCTGTACAGATAAGATTCATCGCGCTCACGAACATCTCCTTGTATTTCACCGGCTCTGTTTGCTCCGTCGACATTGCGTGTAGACATTTTCGAAACGCTGTTCGCGCTATCTCTCTGAATTTGAGACCCTGAGTGTTCCAGTACTGCAACTTCGATGCCTGGTCGGCATCCAGTAGGACCTCGGCATTAGCTCTGATGTCGGTGGGAGTAGGCCTATAGAGAGTACCAAGGTGATAGCACGTCAAGGAAAGAAGGCTGTAGAGGAGCGAAACTCTGGTGAAGCTTGACTGGCCCATAATATCCAGCTCTCCGTACGCAGTCATCGCATACGGCACATGAATGTTTTTCCAGGGAGCTTCCGTGTGAGGCAACCCAGAAAGGGAGGCAATCACATGGTTCATATAGTGAGACAACAGAAATCGGACGTTTGAAGGCACATATGGTGATCCATTGGACAGAGAGGATGCCAAAGGGTGTCCGTATGTAGCAAGTCTTGCAAATCCCGGTTGGGTAAGCTGAATGTCATCTGGGACGGAAGAATGGAAGTTCGGTTGGTTAGTGCCTGATGCATTAAGCAGAGATCTTTCAATAGCTTTACGTGGGCCTTACCTTCAAATAGCGGACCATATCCGGTGTTTATGAAAGGGTAATTGCAGCCTTCTCCAGGAGAGATTTCGGCGAATAGTGTTGGAGGCCCTACGTTGCTGCCCGGCATCGACAATGACCAGTCAATGCCCTCTAGGCATGCCGTAAATTCGTGTTGGCCATTAAGTGAAATTGCAGGCAGAGGACACCGCATAGTCATTTGCCTGCGATTTAGCGCGTTGACATTGTCGAGGTCGGGGACGAAGTGCAAGACTGAAAAGGGGCCTTGGGATATCCCCCAGCTTTTTTTGCCACGAGAACTCTCAGACTCTTTTACCTGCTCATCAAGCTGTTCGAGAACCTGGTCGAGGTGCTGTGGTTTTTGTGTAGATGAAAGATGCCGGACCAGGTCGTCGGAGAACTGAGACCTTGAATGGGCTGCAGTAATCCTGAGTGTCCAAGTCCACAGAAGCTCTTGTGATTGCACATACCATCAAATATCTCTGTTCGAGTGCGGCGGCCCTCTGCCCCTCCTACTGTGGATTTGCCTAGTGAGGTCGTGTCAGGCTGTTCTGGATCCCACATAGGCAACCATTGTAGCTGCACTTGGTAACCACGACATCGCTGACCCAATCTCACACAATTGTTGCAATTTGGGCGCCGCAAGTCGCATTTCACTTTGCGGCCACGGCATGTCAAACACCCTGTGAATGTGCGCGTCCTCACTTTCGTTGCCGGGGGGCGCACTTGTGCCATGAAGTTGGATCATCCTCTGAGGAGTTCGCCGTGAAGAAGATCCAAAGAGCCAGGTGTTCGAGGAATAAAGAGAAGGGAAGGCTTCGGCGACGACAGGATTTTATTGGTTGCTGCTTATCGTGGATTCTCCAAGAAGGACGGGCCTGGCCTTGGGAATTCGGTAGCTCGGTTGGCGGGCAGCCTGCCAAGTTCTCTGGACGGGTGATCTGACAAAATCATCGGGTCGCGGAAGCATTCACCACTTTAAGCTTGGACTTCGTTATTACGTACAAGACACTCTAGCTTCAAAATCCCAATGCTAGAACCTAGGGTGGCCTTGAAAAGGAATCCTCGGCCGATACAGGCTATTCAAGGACCAGTTGATAAATGACGCAAGTAATTCCGCTCCTCTATCTTCCCATACTTTTGTTAGCACTTCGTGCTTGCATCCTGAGACACGATGTTGTACGAGCAGGATGCCAGCAAAGTGGTCAATCGTCTATCTAAAGGGTATGTGAATGCTAACCTATAGTACTGACCACATCGAGGAAGGACAGTATTCTGACATAGGATACGCAGCATCAAGCCTCTCAACTATAATCTCAACATCTTCAACATAGAATTTGGGGGAGAGTGGCTGTACGAAGGGCTGGTGGTAATCGATGCTGAGGCTTCTGTTCCTACGGACCGAATCATTATCAATGCCAGCCAGATCGAAATATCTCGCCCTGAAGTTTCATTCGACCGCAATGGATCCTCCTGTACGCCTACAGAACAATCCCGCAGGTCTTGCTATCGGCAGCAGTGCTAAATTCGCTCAGTAACATATTCCGCCACTTCGGTTACCTTCAACGAAAATGACCAAGTGTGTATATCGTTTCCGGACACTGTCCCGAAGGGATACTTGCAGTTGAAGATTTCATTCAAAGGAAGAATCACCCATTCAATGAGTGGCTTTTGTCGTGCTAGATACGAACCTCAATCGGACCCTAACGCGGCTTGTGTCAAGGTTGGAAAGTATCACCATCAATTAACAACTGACTTTGAGCCCTGCCATGCAAGAAAGGCCTTCCCTTGTTTTGACGAGCCTCACCTCAAAGCGACATTTGAGCTTGAGTTGGAGATCCCGGCAGAATTGACAGCACTAAGCAACATGCCAGAAAAGTCGTTTCGCATCCTAGGCGGACCCAAGAGCAGCCTGAAGGCTGTGCGTTTTGAGAAGACACCAGTCATGAGTACATATGTAAGCAATGTGGCTCACTTGAGATGTGATTGCAAGCTAAAGTTCTGTCAGCTATTGTGCTGGGCAGTGGGCGATTTTGAGTATATAGAAGCATTTACAGAAAGAGAGCATGAGGGGAGAAGAATACCAGTTAGGATCTATACTACCAAGGGTCTAACACAATATGCGCAATTCGCGTTGCGAGATGCTTGCAACACCCTCGACTTCTTCAGCGAGAGCTTTGGGGTTGACTATCCACTGCCGAAATGCGATCACCTGGTTGTGCACGAGTTTATCTCTGGCGCCATGGAGAATTGGGGCTTGATCACTTACAAACCAACCAAGATACTTTTTGATTCATCGACTTCAGACAATAGGCTTATGTCCAAAGCTTCATATGTCGTTGCGCACGAGTTGGCCCATCAGTGGTTCGGCAATCTGGTCACCATGAGCGGCTGGAACGAACTCTGGTTGAATGAAGGTTTTGCAACATGGGCAGGCTACCTTGCAGTGGATTATCTTCATCCTAGTGAGATAAGGCTGAATCCTTCTGATGAACCCTCGCCGACTAATTAATTGTGTACAGAGTGGAATATCTGGGGTCAATTTGTGGTAAGTGTCCGAGTCCTTTGGTAACTCAGTCACAGTTCATCAACCGACACACACATAGGATGAAGCTTTGGAAGAAGCATTCGCTCTGGACTCACTGGACTCTTCACATCCAATAGAGTCACATGTCGAGCACGACGCTCAGGCACACCAAATGTTCGATAGCATCACTTACTGCAAGGGCAGTGCTATCATCCGCATGCTAGCTGGCCACGTTGGTCAGGATGTCTTCCTGAAAGGCATTGCTACTTACCTGAAAAGCCGCTCATACCAGAATGCTACTTCAAATGACCTCTGGCAAGCCCTATCTAAAGCATCTGGAATAGATGTTGCAGCTATCATGGATCCGTGGATCCATGAAGCAGGATTTCCGATTGTCACTGCTGTGTTGACTTCGGACGAACTTCAATTGAAGCAACAACCATTTCCCAGACACACTACACAGCATCAAAAGACATGTTGGCACGTTCCACTTGGACTAGAAAGGACATCTCCCACGAGGGCAGATAGCATCCTGGCTGCAGAGTCGGGTAGTGTCAAGCAGGTTTCTTCTTTGCTGAAACTCAATAAAGACCATGCCGGCTTCTATCGAACCGAGTACCCATATGGCTACTTTATATCGTTTACCCAATTGCCATCAAAGCTGTCGCCGGCCGACAAAGTGGGAATCGTCACTGATATGGCGTCGTTGGTGTTCGCTGGTGTGAAGTCTACGGGTGAGCTATTGTCCCTGCTAGCCAGCTTTTGGCAGGAGGAAGACTGTTTTCTCTGGTCGCAGATAAGAAAGTCTGCCACTATGGTTCTTTCATCCATTTCCGATGACCCACAAGTTGCCAAAGGACTTAAGACTTACATTCGCCAACTTATGGGACCTGTCGAGTCTAGAATCACCTGGACCGGCTCAGCCGACAACTATGTCGACGGCGAGCTGGAGAAGAATTTGATCCAGCTTGCGGCTATAGCCGACAACGAGGATGTCCTTGCCGAGATCAAGCGGCGATTTTCGCGCTGGAAGGATGGCGATAAAGGCCTTGTCAACCGGAATCTCCAAGCTCCTATCTTCGGCATCTCGGTTGCGAGGGGCGGAGAAGAAGAATACCATGCGATCAAAACCGAATATTCTAGAAACCATACTATTGATGGACGCGAGATCTGCATCGCCGCTATGGGAAGAACGAAACTTCCAGCCATGGCCCGAGACTTTCTGGACTTTACATTCTTATCCGATGACCACGTCACGCTACAAAACATTCACTTCGTTGGGATGGCCTTGGGTAACGGACCCTGCGTTGAGGTCCTGTGGGAATATATAAAAGAGAACTGGGATAGAGTCTACGAGAGACTCCGAATCAACAGCGTTGCTTTTGAGTGGTTCATTGACAACGCTCTCCGCAACCTCGACAACCTAGAGGCGGCACAAGTGTCACGAACCCACCGTTGTCCCCAAGTACTCTACGCCCTCCACCCGAATCGGGTGGACGGTATAGAAAGAAAAGGAAAGGATAAGGCAAAGGACGGTTGAGGCACAAGGCTATCGGTTAACGCTGCCTTACCCTTTTCACGTGACAGAAAGAGGGGAAGCTATAAGAGTCTCCTCTCACCTGAATCGGCTGAGAGAGAACTCTTCCTTTTTCTCAAGCGTTGAGTCGTTGTCAATAGGGCTACGTGAATAGAACAAGGCATTCAGCTACTCCAATTCCTTTGTACCTACTGCGTTGCGTAGGTCCCTGATAATTCTCAACGCTTGCCTATCACGCAGTGGCACTGTCGAGCTAGCAGTAGCTGCATGCGATTCTAGGGAGACCCCCAAAAAACCATCCTTACTAGGGTAAGTTCCCACCTGAATCAGGTGAGAATGAACCCCCCATCGCCCCGAGACAATGGGGCGCCCGAGGTCTCGTCGGGGACCGTCGATGAAGACCCTGCGACCACTGCGGGCCCTGCAGACCCGCGACACCCCATTTTCACGCCTACGGACGTGAGTGACCTCGAAGAAATGGATGATGAACAATTACAGGCCGAACTGTCCAGGCTTGAAAGAGAAAGGACACGGCGAGAACAAATAGACCGAATCCATTACCTACGGAGAGGGGGTACTCTCAGTGTGGAACAGAGATTAATGCAAGAGACTGCAGCATATTCTCGAAGTCTCCCACCTGAATCGGGTGGGAATAATAAGCGACTAGCCACAGATGATTTGGCTAGCTACGCGAAAATCTTTAAGGCGGACCCCCCGAAGCATTTTAATGGGGGCAGTTACCAGGCCTTAACCGAGTTTATTATGGGCATCGAGATGTATTTCGAGTCCTACCACCAGGACCTAACAGACCCTGAGGTGGCTAAGCGGGCCATCCAAACGGCGGCAACCTGGCTAGATGGAGAGCCTCGTCAGGCATATTATAGACAACGCAACGTGCCCGCCAGTTGGGAGGAATTCCTCACGTTCCTTCGAGGCACCATCAAAGACCCTCAAACTCGCACTTTTGAGGCCACTTATGCTGCTCAGTTCAGAAAGCAATGGAAAGAACAGAGTGTTCGTCAGTACTTACATGAACTAGAGCAGGCAGAGGCCGAGGTGGAGGCATCAAGGCTCACGGAAGTCGAGCAAAAGATGTGGCGTTTCCTTCACGGTCTACAGCCCAATATTCGTAACGCAGTTATGGCAGAGCCACAGGAGGTACGTCTCAATAGGGATACTGTCCTTACGGCCGCCTGTCGCCATGAGACACGTTTCGCGAATGAGCAAAAGGGCAAGGCCAAGGAGAAGGATGCTTTAGGAAAAAGAAATGAGCTCCCAAAGCAAAAGACATCGATGGCTGTAACAGGAAGTGGGAATAGAACTTCCCACCCGAATCGGGAGGGAAAAAACACATCCAGTTCGCTAAACGTGTCAGCTGAGCCCAAAGCTAAGCAGGGAGAAAAATCAACGTCCTCGTTTGTTCCTAAGTGCTACAATTGCCACAAGGAAGGGCATCTAGTACGGGATTGCCCTGAAAAGGGTACAAAAAAATAGATACCAATGTGGTAAACGCAGCTACCGCATTGGGGCACATTCAGTCTGCGAGACACGGCGCATTGGAGCAACGCTGTGTGAGCATTCAAGTAATAGTCCGAGTAAAGGGCGAGAAGCATCGATTGCGGGCCCTTGTGGACTGTGGGGCACAGGACGACTTCATCTCACAGACAACTGTTGTTAGGCTTGGTTTGAAAGGCGTTCCACCAGATGTATTTGGGAAGGCTGTGGATGGTCGGCAGATCACCATTTACGGCCGTCACAGCCTCGAGGTTCAGGCCATTGATGACCGGGGGAGGACTACTAAGGCCAGACTCAATTTATTGTCTACGAATATCGAGGGATTCGACATAATACTCGGTATGCGCTGGCTCGAAGCAATCAATCCCGACATCAATTTCAGAGATGGTACCTGGGCAGTGAGAGATCCAGACCGCCAAACCCGAATTAGCATGATCACAGCGCAAGAGCTTATTCAAGAGAAGGATGAAATCTACATCATGTGGTATCAACCTTTAGAGAAATCTCAAAGGGTTTCTTACCCGAATCGGGTGGGGCAGTGTTTCACCCGCCTCCGAACTCTTGCATTGAGCAAAGACGGAGGTATGCCTTCTCTTTATGCTAGCTACAGCGACGTGGCATTAGATCCGGGCGAGGCTCAAATTCCACCAGTGTCGAAGGTAGAGCATGCAATTGATCTCACGCCAGGCACAACAGCACCCTATGGGCCCATCTACCCTTTGAGTGGTAGAGAACTCGAGGCTCTAAGGGAATACCTCGACAATGCATTAATGAAAGGGTGGATTCGACGAAGTATCTCACCTGCTGGGGCTCCCATTCTATTTGTCCCAAAGAAAGACGGAGGACTTCGCCTCTGTGTGGACTATAGAGGGCTGAATAAGGTCACGATCAAGAACCGTTATCCATTGCCCTTGATATCTGAGATCCTTGATCGCCTAGCAGGAGCAAAACTCTTTACAAAGCTAGATCTGCGAGATGCTTACCATAGGATCCCCATTAAGGCAGAGGACCAGTGGAAAACAGCATTCCGCACCAGATATGGGCAGTTCGAGTACTTGGTGATGCCTTTTGGGCTGACGAATGCCCCAGCTACCTTCCAGGCATACGTGGACGAGTCCCTAAAGGGCTTGCTAGACGTTTTCTGCATTGCATACATGGACGATATCCTAATCTTTAGCAGAACAGAGAAGGAACACGAGGATCATGTCAAACAAGTGCTCGAAAGACTCCGGAAATCACGGCTTTTCATCAAACTCAGTAAATGCGAGTTCCATGCAAGAGAAGTGGCATTCCTAGGCTTCATCGTCAATGAGGAAGGAGTTTCAATGGATCCTCAGAGAGTGGTAGCCATCCGAGAATGGCCTACCCCCCAGACATTTAGGGATATCCAGATATTCCTAGGGTTTGCCAATTTCTACAGGGGCTTCATCCGTGATTTCTCAAGAGTGGTGGCGCCAATTACAGACCTGCTAAAGGGAATGAAGCATGGCGTGAAGAAGGGCCCTCTGGAATGGACCCTAAAAGCAGATGAGGCTTTTCAAGAGCTTAAGAAGCGCTTTGAAAGAGCCCCTCTACTCCATCATTACGATCCAGACCTAGAGGTAAGAGTGGAGACCGATGCCTCTGGCAGTGGACTAGGAGGTATATTATCCCAGAAGGTCACTGTTCCCTCACCTGAAACGGGTAAGGAACCTTTGTCCGTTTGGAAACCTATAGCCTTCTACTCCCGCAAATATAAACCTGAGGAAATTCGGTACTCTACGGGTGACCAGGAAATGCTAGCGATTGTACACGCATTCAAGGAATGGAGGCATTACCTGGAAGCCCCCTCTAAGACAGTGACTGTGGTCACTGACCATGAAGCGCTGACCCACTTTATGGATACAAAGGTGTTGGCTCGAAAGAGACAAACACGCTGGGCAGAAGACCTAGCAGCATTCAATTTTCGTATTGAATGGAGGGCAGGCAAGAAAAACCCCGCTGATGGCTTATCCAGAAGGCCTGATCATGAGCGAGCAATTTCAAGTGCTGATAAACAGGGCAATATGCTGCATGAACTCATAGCCCTACGCTCAGAGCCTCCACCCGAATCGGGTGGAGACGGTGAAGTACCGATATCGATTAGCGCTGTTCGAATTGCGGTATTAACGAGAGCGCAGTCGTTACGAAAACCGCATCCAAGGGACAGTGAATGGAACACTATTTTTAGCCCAATACCTTCTGCTGGCGAAGTAGAGCTAGAGCAGAAGAGCGATGGGTCAAATGAACTCATCGAGGACGGTCGCCTAGTAAATGTAAGCCAGGCGACCCCTGAAAGAGAAAGAGCGCCGACTTTCTCACCCGAATTGGGTGGGAGAGCAAATCTGGAAGCTCAGATTCGGGAGGCGCAGAGTCTTGATCGGTTCGTGGACGCACGAATGTGGACAACCTCCGTAGATGGAGGGCATTGGACACTAGATTAAGCGGGAATAGTCCGACGAAATGGACTTGT